TAATTTTCCAAATATTTAAAGTACTCACACAACTCAACAAAAGGAAGACAAACAATCTAATTTAAAAAATGGGCAGAAGACCTGAATAGACATTTCTCCAAAGAGGACATACAAATGGCCAAGAGACATATGAAAAAAATGCTCATCAGTAATCATCAGAGAGATGCAAATTAAAACCACAATGAGATATCACCTCATACCTGTCAGAATGGCTATCATCAATAAATCAACAAACAACAAGTGCTGGTGAGGATGTGGAGAAAAAGCAACCCTTGAACATGGTTGGTGGGAACACAAACTGGTACAACCACTATGGAAAAGTTTCCTCAAAAAATGAAAAATGGCCCCAGCCAGTTTGGCTCAGTGGATTGAGTGTCGGCCTGGGGACTGAAGGGTCCCTGGTTCGATTCTGATCAAGGGCATATGCCCAGGTTGTGGGCTCAATCCCCAGTGGGGGGTATGCAGGAGGCAGCTGATCAATGATTCTCTCTCATTGATATTTCTCTCTCTCTTTTCCTCTCTGAAATCAATAAAAATAAAATTTTTAAAGAGTACATACTTGATAACATCAGAAAAATATATTTTAAAAAATGAAAAATAGAACTGCCGTTTGACCTAATGATCCCACTTCTGGGAATATATCCTAAGAAGCCTGAAACATCAATCAGAAAGATTGTACCCCTATGTCCATAGCAGTGTTATTACAAAATCTAAGATCTGGAAACAGCCCAAGTGCCCATCAGTAGATGAATGGATAAAAAAATACTGGTACATATACACAATGGAATACTATGCAGTTGTAAAAAGGGAGGATCCTTAACTCTTTGAGACAGCACGGAGGGACCTGGAGAGTATTACGCTAAATGAAATAAGTAGACAGAGAAAGACAAGTATCACATGATCTCACTTTTATGTGGAATCTAATGAACAAAATAAACTGACAAGCAAAATAGAACCAGAGACACTGAAGCATGCAATAGACTGATATATTTCAGAGGGAAGGAGGGAGGCAGGAATAGTTTAATCAAATAACTTATATGTATACATGCATAACCCGTGGACACAGACAATGGTGCAGTGAAGAGCTGGGGAGGGGGCAGTAGCGGGGTGGAGGGAATTAATGGAGGGGGAAAAGGGAACATCTGTAATCCTTTCAACAATAAAGATAATTTTTAAAAAAATCATCAGTAAACATAAGGGACTAGTTCAACAAAAAATAGTAAATCCATAGATGGAACCTATAAAGTCATTTTAAAAGAACCAGGTTACTGTCATCAGGCCTCTTGAACATTCTCAAAGGTACGCTACAAAGCGAAAAGAGCAAGGTGTATAATACAGCAATTCAGAGTTTGTTACTACTTATGTCAAAAATGAAGGCAATGTATTTTATTATATATAAATATATCTGCAAAGCTACACAAGATAGTGACAATTCTTGTTGCCTCAGGGATGGGACAGGTGGCTAGCAGAGAGAACACTTTTCACTGTGAATTTTTCTGTGACTTTTCAGCCATATGAATGTTGTACTTATTCAAAACATTATTTAAAAGCCATTTTTAAATGAAAAATTTCTAACCTCATTATAAGCATTTGCTTCAAGTATTAAAAATGCAACTTATTGCCCTGGCTGGGTGACTCAATTGGAGCATCATCACATACACCAAAAGTTTACAGGTTTGATTCCTGGTCAGGGCACATTACTTAGGTTGCAGGTTCGATCCCCAGTCAGGGAGTATAAGAGAGGCGACCCATCAATGTTTCTCCCTCCCTCCCTCTCTCTCTCTTTCTCTCAAATCAATAAAACATATCCTCAGGTGAGGATTTAAAAATGCAACTATTAAACATACTGATACTGTAAGGGGGAGGCCCTGTGGATATAACAAAAAGCTCAATTATAAATTGGAGTTACAATTAATATGCTATCATAGCAATAATTTGATAGTAATTATGCCTTTTTAAAATTTAGAATGGCTTTTGGGAGACAACTTGAATGACCCAATCAGATTTTACAAGGCAGTTCAAATTTTACCACAAATATTCTCCTACTGAAAACATTTTCGAGAAGGACTTACTCAATGTTTCTACCATGTACTCTCTCTTCCTCAATTTATTTAAAGCTACAAGTGCCAGTCAGTAGCAAACCAAAGCAACACCACAGGAAACAATAAATGTCATTGTCACTCGCTTTCATGGTTCTTTGCTGTAGCTAACGTTGGCTGTCTTACAGTCCACCTGCCGGAAAGAAGTTGGAGCAGGTACTCAGATCATTTGCCCTGTAATGACAGGCTCATGTCCAGGAGCCCGGCCCCCTGTAAGACATAACATACCAAACATGTCTTCCCAAGAACTATAATCTTTAATAAACTTCTTAAAGATTGATCTGTTGAACTCCCTTTCCTCTGCCCTCACCCCTGGAAAGCACTGTGTGTTTATAGGCTATAGACATTCTGCTATGAAACAGAAATAATGCCCCCTGGTGCTCCGGGGTATAAAGATGACACAGAGGTCAGCCAGATATTGGCACCACTATCAGATAGAAAGCCATTTTTGTAAGTTGGGAAGTGTTCCACTTTTTACCCAAAATATAAACTACTACTCTACCTCATTTCTAGATTACACATAGATACAGAAGATTTTTGTGCATTTTTAAAAGTCTGGCTACTAAAGCTTTGACAGTTCAAGTTCTACACACAAAAACAATTATTTGAATCAGAGTTTCAAATAAATGAAACTAAAAATTATGTTCGCAACACCAAGGCTCATTAAAATATTTTTTAATATTAATATACATTTTCTTCTCTCAGAAATACACAAAACTTTTAAATATTACATTCGTGTTACACAACAAAATCCTAATGACACCAATAACTTATGTTTTACAAACAGAATAACCTACACATTCAAAACTCTTTCAATAACTTTTTCACTTTTATTTTCAGGTTAGTACAGACCCATGTGGAATGAGGGTTGCTTTAATTAGGGCAGTTATTTTTGTAATTTCAGTTTTTCACAGCTTAGTGCATATGCAATCTTACTGTTGATGAAATAGAGAATTGTAATATTTCCCATTTCTTAACAGTCTCATTATGGAACAGAAAAACATATCCTGTGTACTACATTTCTTGGAGGAATCAGTTGTTATGAAAAACCACTAGGGTTTGTTTCTTCTGTGAATGGTTTCTGAATGCTTTCAATATGCTTACTCCAAGTTTTGAATAATTGCCTAGTCTATTTTCCTGGATGTGTTACTTCTTGAACATGAGTAGACGGTTATGTAGGTTTTCAAATTAATGAATGAGGTAGTTCAATCAATGTAATCACAGAGGCTTGAAGTGAAAAGGAAAAAAAACAAAAAAGCTTTTTCTATCAACCAAAATGTACATACTTCTAACTCATCCATTACACATCTTTGGAGTGATAAGAGGAAAAAACAAAACAAAAGAGGGCATGATTAATCCTGAGAGAGTACATGTAAGGGAAAGGGTGAAAATATCTCACCTACATGGTTGTTCTGTAATAAAAGTTTCCCCAATCAGTAGGCTGCCTTATTTTCATTTATATTTCTGTTTTCCTACTTTCTGAATTACAAGAATCCTTTCAATAGATACCACACACATATATGCAGTATATTATATACAGTATGGCACTGGCCAACAATTTAAAATACTCATGAAGCACACATAAATGTAAGGCACTTTTGCGGTTTACAAAAGTGAATGCCTCTAAGTTAGGTATTTTCTAAAAATGAAGAAATAGGATCCCTGAAAAACCAAGTCGGCATGAATCACTAGTGATCTTGGCCAACATCTGAGAACCTTGGTGTAACTCAAGAGCAGAGGTAAGAGGTAAATAATTTTTAAATCACAGAGTTCTGTATATCAGTGCCAGGATTCTAAAACTGCTCTCATAAAAGCCTATCAGTTCTATGTTCTTTTAGTTTCTCAACCAGAAAAAACTGACAAGTTGGCAACAACCATTCATAGTGTACTGCTGTTTAGATTTAGTGGTGACACCATACCAAGTCAGTTATAAAGAGCTGGGAATAAAAAAGACTTTGCATTTCTCTGAAAATAATATAGCTTGATAGAATTTTACTCAAACTACTTTAAAATGTGAAATTTCATGTCTATTTTAAATCAAGAATTCCCAAATACAAATATTATTGCTCTAAATCTGAGTTTTTCTGACTTTAAAATTAAAAGATCTGGCCCTAACCGGTTTGGCTCAGTGGATACAGCATTGGCCTGCGGACTGATGCATTTCTCTGAAAATAATATAGCTTGATAGAATTTTACTCAAACTACTTTAAAATGTGAAATTTCATGTCTATTTTAAATCAAGAATTCCCAAATACAAATATTATTGCTCTAAATCTGAGTTTTTCTGACTTTAAAATTAAAAGATCTGGCCCTAACCGGTTTGGCTCAGTGGATACAGCATTGGCCTGCGGACTGATGCCTAGATGCCTAGGTTGTGGGCTCAATCCCCAGTAGGGAACGTGCAGGAGGCAGCCGATCGATGATTCTCTCTCATCATTGATGTTTCTATCTCTTTCTCCCTCTCCATCCTCTCTGAAATCAATAAAAATATATTTAAAAAAAATTAAAAGTTTTGTAACCTACAATATATTATATCTTCTTGGCTATAAGAGACCAAAAAGCTTACGATAAAGCCAAAAAATTAAGGGAATAAGCAAATTTTTATGCCATCATTCGCAGAAATTCCAAAAGACTGAATCTCTAGATTATGGTTGGTGAGGGCAAGGTCAATTAAGAGTCAAGTCCTGGTTGGCACCGTTCAGTGGTTAGAGCACTGGCCCACACACCAAAGGGTCGTGGGTTCAATTCCCGGTCAAGAGCATGTACCTGGGTTACAGGTTCTATCCCCGGCTCAGTCGGGGTTGAATGTGGGAGGCAACCAATCAATGTGTCTCTCTCATATCAATGTTTCCTTCCTCTTTCTCTCTCTCTCTCCTCTCTCCCCCACTCTCCTCCCTTCCACTCTCTGAAAAGCAATGGAAAAAATATCCTCAGATGAGGATTAACAAAACAAAAAAAAAAGAAAAGTCAAGGATTCAGGAAAAGGTACAACTGTACCTTTTCTCTTTATTCTCTAAGTAAAAGAACATGGACTTTAAAAAATTATTTCTCTGTTATATCAGTTTAACAATTCAGTGGTTATTAAACGAGATAACTAAAAATGCTACTTTCAAACCATTTTTTAAAAATTAAAGAATTCAATTAGTACGTTCTTGTGGATGTTGCTGAATGTGGAGATTAAAATGCGTAGCTAGCTCCTTTCATTATTTACAGTTTAAATCTTTGTTGTACTTCATCTGCAATCATTCCAGAAATTGCAAGGGACGAAGTAGCAGCAGGGGAAGGTGCATTTCTCACGTGAAGAATGCGATTTCCAATAACCCCATCTCCTCCGTCAAATACAAAATCGTCTACCAGATTTCCATCTTGATCCAGAGCTTGGGCTCTTACTCCAGCTGGACCTCTGCAAAACCAAGAGTGGCAGTCAACTGACTGGAAGAAATAGGACACTTTACAAGTCAGTGGTCTCAAAGTATTCTGAAAGCATTAAAGTCTTTATTCTTCTAAATGCACAATCATGTGGAAACCCATTAGGCTTGTCAGTTAGAACCTGTAAACTTATATTCTCAGTCTACCGCAGTGGTTCTCAACCTTCCTAATGCAGCGACCCTTTAATACAGTTCCTCATGTTGTGGTGACCCTCAACCATAAAATTATTTTCGTTGCTACTTCATAACTGTAATTTTGCTACTGTTATGAATCGTAATGTAAATAGCTGATATGCAGGATGTATTTACATTGCTACAAATTGAACATTATTAAAGCATAGTGATTAATCACAAAAACAATATGTAATTATATATGTGTTTTCCAATGGTCTTAGGCGACCCCTGTGAAAGGGTCGTTCTACCCCCAAAGGGGTCGCGACCCACAGGTTGAGAACCACTGATCTAGAGCATAATACCCACCACATAACAGTGCCAATAAATGCTTATCAAATGAATTTACGAATGGGTTAATTATAAATACCTTTTATTTCCAAAGTAGCAGACAAATCCACATTTAATTAGAATAAATGTATTTTTATTTAAATGTATAAAATGAATTTATTATAAATTCAATAAATTAAAATAAGGCTCTTCTGATTAATACAAAGCAATAAAAGTAGGAGATATGCATGCCAATGCATTCCTAAATCCACCACAGAATTCTATTTTTGTGTTTTGTTTTGATTGTACACTATTAAAAATTTATGTAGAAAAATATCTGAAAATGGCAGCAAGTTCTTATTTTGTAGTTTGTTTTAATTTTTAACAGTTTAGCCTTCAATATTGGGATAACCTTCAATTAATTAAAGAGATAACAAAATAAGAACAAAAATGAATTAATTTGATAGTAGGTTAAAACAGTAAGAGGCTTTACTACTAAAAGTGCTGTTTTATAACACGAGTTTACAAATTAGATTTTTTGTTTTTAAAATAGTTTAGAAATTTACAGATGAAATGGGAATAAAATATTTTTAGAATCCAAAAGCACCTTCATTGAATCTGCTCAAGAAAACAGTTTGAAAATACCTGCCTTATACATACCACCAAGACTCAAGAAATCAGACAATAATATTAACAAACATTTTTATTGATTTTGTGCCCACACAGATAAGCACTTGAGTAAGATATCGAGAACAATATGGGAGCTCTGCCCTCTGAGACCTCAGCGTGGCTGAGGAGAGATAATGATAATAATAGCTATTATTTACCAATTGCTTAGTCAGTGTTAAGAATTCTATCATTTAATCCTTGCAACAACTCTAAGAGGCTGGTAACAGTTTATACTTAACAGTGAAGAAACATAGAGTGATTAAGTAACCTGCCTGAAGTTACACGGATATACTATTCATTTTTAGAGAAGTAAAAATAACAACAAGGTGGAAGGTTCTACAATAAAGATAAGTAATCTGCCTTACATTTACAGAAGCCTGCAGGGAATCTGGACAAGATTTTTTTGAGCTGTAAGGATTTCCAAGTAAGAATCAGATACATCGCTTAGAACACAAGATACAGTCAGCCAACCCTCGCCAGTGTGGCTCAGTTATTAGAGCATAGGCCCCCGAGGTGCACATGGTTGCAGGTTTGATCCCCGGCCCCCATTGGGGAAATGTGCAGGAGGCGACAAATCAATGTGTCTCTCCCACATCAATGTTTCTCTCTCTCTCTCTCTCTCTCTCTCTCTCTGCCCCCATTGGGGAAATGTGCAGGAGGCGACAAATCAATGTGTCTCTCCCACATCAATGTTTCTCTCTCTCTCTCTCTCTCTCTCTCTCTCTCTCTCTCTCTCTCTCTCTCTCTCCACCCCCCACCCCCTTCCTGTAACACAAGTATTCTGTAATGGGGGTGGGGAGTCTTATGAATCCACTAAATCAAATGTGTATTTTATTTGCTTGATCTCTTCTATCAACAGACCTAAGATCATTCACCACAATTGTGAATTTGTTGTTTTCTGCTTACAGTTGTGTCAGTTTTTGTTTTCTGTACTTCATATTATGTATATGCAATAAATTTATGGTGATCCTCTTAACCTCTAATAATAATTTTTGCCTTATGGTGTATTTTATCTGAAATGAATCCAGTACTCATCTTTCTTCTAATAAGCATTTGCATAGTATATGGATGGTTTTTTAAATCCAACCTAACAATCTCCATCTCAACTATTAAATACATTTACATGTATTGCAATTACTGATATGTTTGATTTCTACCATATTACTGGGTAATATGGGATTTTTCTGGGATTTTCCCATTTCCTTCTTGACTTACTAAGCTTTCTATATTCTTTTTTCCTCCTTTATTGACTTGGAAATTATATAATCTATTTCTATTCTTGCGTTTAGTTTTATTTATTCAGATGGGACTCATTGTGCATCCTGAATTTTGTCTTTTTTGTCAACTCCAGAAAATTCTCAAGCACTCTTCAAAGTATTGCCTCTTCTCAATTTTTCTGCAATTTCTCTGAAATGTAGTCTGGAATCTTCTCATTTTCTTCTCGATGCCTTTAGTACCTACTACCCACATGATGGATCTTTGTCTTGCAACACTGTCCTATAAATGCTTCAAATTTTAATTTACTGATTTTCTCGTAAGGTCTAACCAGTTATCTAACTTAGTCATTTGAATTTTAAAATTTAAGAACTACATTTTTAATTTCTAGAAATTCTAATTATTTGGTTTCCAAATTTGCCTAAGGTTTTGCTTTTTGTTTTTGTTCTTATTCATGTTTTCAATTCCTTTTAATTCACTGAAGCATATTAGTTTCTAATATTACCATTACTCAAAGTTGTGGGGGCCTTATTCTGGTATTTACTCTATCTGCTTACTCTCACTTGTGGTGTTTTGTAACTTTCGATGAATCGTTTTGTTCAGCAGGACTTTATCTGGGGGAAAACGGGGGGGGGTTGGGTTGAGGTTTTGTCCCTCCACAGAGGTTTTACATTTGCTTCTATCAGGTGCTCCAGAGGTATTGCCATCCTGGGAACACTTTTTTTTTTAATGGAATTTTTAAACATGTACAAAAATAGAATGAACAGTATAATGAACTCTCATGTATGTATTACCCAGATTCAATAAATAATCAACATAGCCAATCTTGTTTTATCTATATTTCCACTCACTGCCCACCTCTCTCCACTGGATTATTTAAAAGCAAATTCCAGCCCTGACCGGTTTGGCTCAGTGGATAGAGTGTCGGCCTGCAGACTGAGGGGTCCCAGGTTCGATTCCAGTCAAGTGCATGTACCGTGGTTGCGGGCACATCCCCAGTAGGGGGTGTGCAGGAGGCAGCTGGTTGATGTTCCTCTCTCATCGATGTTTCTAACTCTCTATCCCTCTCCCTTCCTCTCTGTAAAAAATCAATAAAATATATTTTTAAAAAAGAATGAGCTTTAGAAAAAATTAAAAATAAAAGAAAATTCCAGATGGCACATCATTTCACTACATTTCTTTTAAAAGGATTCTTTTTTAAAAAAAATGTATTTTTATTGATTTCAGAGAGGAAGGGAGAGGGAGAGACAGAAACATCAATGATGAGAGAGAATCATTGATCAGATGCGTCCTGCACACCCCACAATGGGGATCAAGCCTGCAACCTGGGCATATGCCCTGACCGGGAATTGAACCATGACCACCTAGGTCAATGTTCAACCACTGAGCCACGCCAGCGCTAAAAGGATTCTTTAACCCTTTGCGGTCGTTTGTCTACTCTCAGCCACCAAAGCTTTTTCTTAACTCTATTCATTCATGTATCAGTTCATAATTTCTCTAAAAGCTCTTAAGTGTCTAAGCGACCTTGTCACGAACCAAAACATTGCCCCGACAAATCGGAGATATCGAAACTCAATATAAACAAACGCGGTCGTTCCACACTCGCCATGCAAAACACCGTGGCGAGTCAGTCGCCTTTTGAGAGTGAAGAAATCGACAAGCTTCGGAGATACTTCGCAGAATTTCAAATAAAGCTTTACAAATTACGTTTAACTGTAATTAGGCATTCTCGCTTGTTAAGATATTTCAAAATAATACTCCAAAATGGCAAAAAGAAAGTTACCAAAAGGAGTGTACTGCGAATCTGAAAGTAACGATGAAGAGTTTTATTTTGGCACCTTGAATACTGACTCTGATGTAGAAAGTGCTAACGTTTGTAGTGATTCTACTAGTAGTGACGTAGTTCCAAAAAAGAATTAATAAATCTTGTTTCTCCTTCATAATCTTGCATGTTATGTATCACTGCTCTTTCAATGGAAATTAATTCCGACCAGTACGACACCCATGTCCAAATTTAATACGACCGCAAAGGGTTAAAAATAATAATAATAAACGAATTATTGCTTAGTATCATCAATATTTAGTCTTTAGTCAAATTACCCTTCTCTCTCTCTCTCTCTCTCTCTCTCTCTCTCTCCAAACAGCTGTGAGGAGAGGCCCAGGGTTCTAGATTTTTAGGAGATTCTACCCACCCCACTTTCCCCCTTCCCTCAAGACCAGGACAGACAAAATTCCTAACATTTTTTTAAAAGACTTCCTTTTCACTGAGGGTGCAGCCCTTCAAGAGTCCCTGGATTAACCCAGGGGTCTCAGTTCCAACTTTTTACCTTTTACAGACCCAAGGCCTCCTTTCCAGCACTTGAGTGGCAATTAAAATACAAGTCCCTAATGTTTTATATCTTGTTTTCTGTGGTTGATACATGAGTTTATACAATTGGAAAAATTCACTGACCACTTAAGATCTGCATTACTTTACTGTATGTAAATCACAAAGCAATTAAAAATAAAACATAACTATATTTCTATAAAAATCAGCCAATCCTCCCTACCCCTCCAGGACAGCATCAAGCACCAATTCCTCTCAGTATCTGGGTTTCCTATTTCCCCTCAGTCCTCACTCCTGGGATGCCCCTACCTTACTTTCTCACACTCCCGGCTATATGTATTTCAAAGGATTTTTATTATATTTTCTCCAGACTCTCTTAGTGTTGGGTAGTGTGAGAGTTACCACATTTATTAGTTTAGTGGTTCTCAACCAAGGGAGATTTTGCCCCCTAGAGGACATTTGGCTATGTCTGTAGAAATTTTGGGTTGTCTTAACAAGGAAGTACTGCTGGCATCTAGTCAGTAGAGGTCAGAGATGCTGCTGAACATCCTACAGTGAACTGGGCAGTCTCCCACAACAAAGACTTATTTGGCCCCAAATGTCAATAGTGCCAATACTAACAAACCCTGATCTAGATCACCTTTACTGCAGGAATATTTGGCTTTCACGTTTGCCTTTCACAATGACACAGTATAGTCTTTAGCTATCACTCAGGATGAAAACATCTTGCCTAAAAATTTACTCTAGAATTCCCCCAATATGATATTTTTCAAAGTGAAGAGTGGGAAAAGGAGAGATCTTGGCACTTATGTCTTCATCTTTTACATCCTTGCAATATTAACAGATACAAACTGCTGTTGGATTACCATGTCCAAATTAATCACAGAGCAAGTTAAAGGACTTTAGAGCTAAAATTAAGAACCTTAGAGATCAGATTTAACAATGAGAAATTTGAATGCCTAATGCATATATATTGACAGATTGTAACTTTACATTCCAATCTAATGTTCACTATTAAGTTACTGTCCAAGATACTCTGGCTAGGCAATGAGAAGTCAAACCGGATGCTCACTGGTGGTTACTGCAATTTAAGAACATAATCCTGAGCTAAATATCCCATTAAAAGTGCTGCTTCAGTTCTCTTTTACTATCCAGAACTGCTTAATATGCTTCTGTCTCAATATTACTGGTACAGCATTTATGGTTTTACTACAGTGGGTTGCATGATAAGCAAGAACTGGACTTCAGAATGTGGGGAAGTCTACTGATCATTATTATTATTATTATTTAATATTTCAGGCATATGACAAAGTACAGAGAATAATATGATGAACATGTGCTTTCTTCACAAACAGCTTAAGAAATAAAGCATTATAGATATGATAATAGCCCCTGTGGAACTCTCTGGATCCCATTCCCTTCTCTCCCCAGAGGTAACAACTCTCCTGAATTAGGTGTTTACCACTATATTTGGTTTTATTTTCACATTACATGTGCAATCCATAAATAATATGTGGTATTGTATAAACTTATATAAATGGTATCAAACCTATCTTCTACAACTTCCTTTTTTATTGATAATTTCCCACATTTAATAGCTATAGGAACTGAATAAAAGGGAAGAAGTAAATGGAATTACTTTTCTATCTCCAAAGAGAAACTCATCTGTGATTGAGGTGAATTTGTCCCTAAATGCACCTGCCTACAATGCTGAATACCCTTCTCTACTACCTGCTAACGAAACTGGTAATTGAAATCAACACTCCCACAGGCAGAGACAAAGAAGTGTTCACCAAAACCCACCAGCCCCAGTCCAGTTCTAACTTATGAAATCCACTGGTCTGAATTGTTTCCCTCAGGCTTTTACAAAAGGGTGGTAATCGAATATGAACAGTGAATTCACTGCAACTGTTTATACACCTATTGTATTTTCCAAGGAATATCAATAGCAGTAACAGACACCAGATTTGACCAACTTATTTTAGATATAAAACATAACAAGTTTGCTAAAGCAAACCACTGAAAACATAAAAGTCTTTATTTATAGATGAGTGAAAGAAAATAAAGCCTAGATATTTTTATCCCTTCCATTTCATAAGGTAAGTAGAGGGGTGAGAGAGATAAGAGTAAAACATTAGCTGGGTTTTCATAGTTCTTCTAAGGATTCAAAGAGGCTGGTCTGTGAATGACATATTAGAGTCAGACTTAGACCAGGACGTTCCCCTAAGGGAGACAGCTGACATGATGATTGCTCTCTTCTCAAATAGTCAAGCTGCTGACATTTTATACCAGTCAAGTTTTGCAGCTGTTACTGAGGCGACAGACATTTAGTTCTCTGAAGATTCATGGGATGGATTCATGGAGGGGAGTATCTCAAAGTACACTGCTGATTAGGCCTAACAAATGGCTTATTCGGGGGAAAAGGTGAAAACCATACAAATGTCACCAACGAGAAAAGGAAATAGGCTCGGGTAGCATTTAGGACAACTTACAGATAAAGTCCAGAAAGCTTTTGACCTTTAAGAAAACAAAACAAAACAAAAAAAACACACACCAAAACAATTTAAGTAATCCTCCCTTTGACTCACATTGGTAGTTACTACACTACTTCCCACTTCTGTCCTGAAAGTAGAGTCGCTGAGTGGAGTAGGATCCCCAAAAAGAAAAAAAAAAAAGCAGTAGGAAAGAGGTAAGGTAAGTTGCCAAGTATAGGAGTGGTTTCTAGAAGGTTTTAAGAATCAAACAAAATAGGGCATTGTAATGTGTTTATTACCTAATTAGTTAATACGGTGACCACTGATCTTATATAGAATTAAAGGAAAAGGCTTTGGAATCACAAGAGGCAGAAGCCAGGGAAAGCTTAAAAATTCCTGACAAGCCCTGGATGGTATGGCTCAGTTAGCTGGGCGTCATCCTGTGCGCTAAATGGTTGCCGGTTTGTTTCCGGATCAGGGCACATACCTAGGTTTTGGGCTCAATCCCTGGTAAGGGGTGTGCAGGAGGCAACCAACTGATGTTTCGATCTCACATTGATGTTTCTCTCCCCTTCTCTCTCCCTCCACCCCTCTCCCTCCTTCTCTAAAAATCAATAAAAAATCTTTTTGAAAAAATTTCAGACAAGATTTTTTTTATCATGAGTGATAGCTAGACACAAAGGTGACGGTGGCATATTAATACAGATGCAATGGAGATTTCAGTTTAATGCTGTAAGGTAGTCTAGATAATTATAAATGGTAGATGTAGTTCCAGCACTAAGGGCCACCATGCAGCGATGCCCAACTCATGCACTGCAAAGGGAACACAACAACTTGCTGGGAAAGAGAGCACACAAAGATTCAGTGGGCACACCGACTGAAAGGGAGCCTATGAATCACCAAGTCAGAGCCACCTCCCAAGTTCCCCAAAATCACGACTGTACTTACAATCCTTATGGCTGTTTCTTACCTAAGTATATCACGGACAGTAATTTCAGGGATAAACTTCTGAAGGTGTTTCACTGTTGCACTGAGAAAACAGGCTTTATACATCTCACTGACTCCATAGGAGAAATTCTGGGACACCAGTTTAATCAAACCACTGGAAACAGAAAATAAAATTTTTGAGAGAAAGGAATTCTTTATTACTATTAAACATCTTTACAACTATTAGATTTGGACAGGGGCATCACAAAAATCTAGGCAAAGTCAGAAAAACCACATATTAAAAGAAAATAAACTTTTGGCCACTGTAAGAAGGAAACTTCATCAAAGGAATACCCTTCAAAACCAAAGGTTAACACCTTTCAAAGGTAAACACCTTAGATGACCTGAGAATGCTGGCTTCAAACTAGAATTCTATAGAGCCTGCCACTAAAAGGCTTTCTGATAGAAATGTTACATGCTTTCAAAACACACCTAAAAGGCATTAACAGATCTCTACCTCAGGACATTAAAGAAGGAAGATAGATGTTTACCTATTTTTTTTTTTTAAATCAGCCAGAGGTAAGATACTCTAGTAATGATTCTCAAATGAGACTCTGTGTAGTCTATGTATATATGTATTTTTAAAGGACACATGCTAGAAAACCCCATCCCAAACCTTCTGTTTCAGAATCTGTAGAAGGTGAAATTCAAGTATAACTCAAAAATCTTTCTAGTAATTTTGATGTGAAAATCTCTGGAGAGCAACACTGCTAAAATAAACCATCCCCCGCACCCCCGCCTCCACCCCCCTATGACAACCAAAAAAAACAAAAACAAAAACAAAAACACACAACACCTTACTGAGTTCTTACAATAAAGTAAAGATTCTGAGTCTCGGGTCAACACACTGTTAATTTTCCACCGAAGGAAACAACCTTGGTTGTCCGAAGTTTCTCCAGTGGTTTTCAAAATGATGGTGACTGGCTTGAAATCACTTTATCAAAGTAAGCCATCTACTGGTTTTGAAACTTTTTTTTTCCAAACGCAACTAGAAGGTTAGCAAAACAAGGTTTGGATTGTCACATACGTATGTGACTGGGTCTTGGTCTTGTTATTTTTAACCAAGACTTCACCCTGGATCATCAGAATTTCCCTGAGGTAGTTAAAACATTATTCTTATTCTTCAAGGCTCTTAATTTAGATTAATAAAAAAAAAATCAATATAATAATCACAAATGTGAGGATTTACCCAATAAGTAGAATTTCAAGAAAGACAAAATTTCCCATGTTAAAAATATAAACACACAAAGTCACTTTTTAAAGTAAAGTAGTTACCTCTTGGTAATTACATCCGTAATATCTCGGGCACTGAAGTCAAAGGGTTTGTAGCCCTCTCGTTTGAAGGCAAGAACGGCATTAGGCCCTAGCCAAATACTGCCGTCCATCCTTGGTGTGAAGTGAACTCCTAGGAAAGGAAACCGGCTATCTGGGACCTACGGATTTAACGCAGCAAAGAACTGTGAGCCCTGTTCCATACTGCATGTTAGCATGCATGCAAATATTTAAGTGGTAATATAAATCACTTTCTTCCCATGCATTTAATTTGTATTATTTTGATCCGGACTGAGATATACTTTTTATTTACATGCTTCTGCCTAGGAATGCCACACAGAAAACACTGATGCTACTGACACTAATATACACTCCCGTCTATTCCTCTTTCTGGGAAAAGAAAAAAAAAAGAACTGTCCTACTTCAACTTATCCCTCTCCCTACCCTCCCACCACACCCCCAACTAGGGATGTATGTGGCTGGCAAGTAAAATCAGAGCTGCCAGAAACACACACTCATTCATAGCACAGGCTTTTGTAAAGTCGGAATGTACCGGGATAGAGCACATGCAATGGAAGTTTTGGCAAGGTCAAAAACTCTAAGTAGACAAATATTAGTAATTCCGTCTGGTTCAACCTAGTAGTTCCATGCAGAATGAACTCTTCATTAAAGGGCTCTGTCTTCTCCATCATGAAACTACAGAGTGGCCCTTTTTCTGCACCTATAGGTAGAACTGAGAAAGAGGGCTGGGTACCTGGGCATGCAAAAAGGGCAAGTTCTCTTATGAGTGTTCCTTCCACCAGATAGGAGGGAGAATTGGGTTATTTCTTGCTCGCCCTTCCCATGATGCACTCATGCTTTTTGAAGACATGTACTTGTGGGCAATTTAGTATAAGTTAATGACTATGATACCAGAATAAATGTTTAGGAATTTAACCATAAGAGAAAAAGATAAAAAGCTTGCATAAAAAGCCCTTCAAAATATCTCTTAGTTCTGACCCAGATAAAAGTTTTTGTTTCATTCCCTTTCTGCCCCGTCATCTTGAGAAGGATGAGACTGCAAAAGCATCATACCTACCGGATAAATATTTCCTTTCACAAGATAGCATTTTTCTGGCTTCAAGAGCAAGTAATCCCCCCGGAATGGTACAATTTGAGGATCGGGACTGCAGCCACTCAGCTCGGAAATACGGTCTGAGTAAAGTCCTGCACAAGTCACAACATACTGACATTGAACTTCCTCTCCCTAGTGTGTAAAAGAAGAACAATGATTTTTAGAAAGCAGAAAAAGAGGTGATAGAAGAGACAATAAGTATACAGAAAGGGACGTTTTTCTTTTTATTCCTTTTAAAAGAGGAAATTAAATGCAAGTATCAGCAACATAAATTCTTCAGTAATTAGGTGGCAGCTAGAAACTTAGGGTAGTGGCAGGCAAGAGGATGTCACCTTAAATTTTGTCCTTTAATGATTCAATGGTTGACCTACCTAGTGAGGATACTTAACAAGATACTACACACAACACACACACACACACACACACACACACACACACACACACACACACACACCCCACACACGCACTTTACTAAGACCATAGAACTTCTTAACTATTGCATGAAGAAGCAAACTTCATTTAGATGTCCCCCCACCAATTTGGCTGCCTCTGTATTTCAGACAGCTTCTCCTATCTTATCTATGAGTAATTATCCTGGTAATTATCAGGTTGCTTCACACTACAACAGAAACCGACCACCAACCAATTTCTCCTTCCTGTTCAATGTCTACTTTGCAAACTGAGGCTACTTTCAAAACCCCATTCATTCAATCCACATTTACGGAGTACACACACTACAGTCAAGGTTTGCTTTAACAACTAGGAGACTGCTAATCTTAGGCTGTGGTATTTCCCCATAAATTTTGTTTGTGATTATCACCTACATATTTTTAGATGAACTCTGCTAGGGTTAGCCAATTTACTACCCTATTTCCTAAATAATTTCATTTAACCCCAATTCACCATCACACTCCAATTCCCACCTCTTTACTTTTCACACAGTAAAAACTAGCATCTCCTTGTAATTTCTTGTTCTTAGATTTCCTCCCCAGATGACCTGTTTCTGAAGCCTCAGAGTTCTCATTTGTCCTAATATTCTTTCTTTTCAGCCCCTAGTGGTTCAGCCTTATTCTATCTTTGTATGCATCCTATTTTTGCCTACCTACCAAGGTAAGCCTCTTTTCAAGATTTATTCAAGTCACACTTCTGACAAAAATTAGATGCAACTTCTTTGCAGTGAGTTCAAATTAGCTAGGCTAAACCATGATAGTTTTAAGACACTTGAAGTCAAAGGGCTATGTCAACAACAACAAAAAAAACATGACTTCTTCTAAATTGGTTAATATCTTTCCTATTCATCTGGAGTTATATAGCAGAAGTACAAGAAATATTTTATGTGATATGAATCTACTAGTCCTTACTTGAAATGTCAGCAATTCTCATATTCTTACAACATAAAATGTAGATAAGCCATATGATAAGTGTAATGATAAGAGAATTTGTAGAATGGTACCAGCATTCTAATAATCTAACAGTTCTCTTTAAAAAACTCAAGGAACAGTTCCAAAGGAAGACATGATTAAAAACTGTCACAGATCTCTGAAATCATTTTATGATATATATGAAACAATAATTACACTCACACTAATTTCATATCCAAAATGTAAATTTAGGTAAACATCAAATGATACAGCATTTGTTCAAAAATACATTTCTTTAAACAATTAAACTATTCATCTCTATTGCTATTTCATAAGTGAAACAGACTTTTCTCCTATATGCAATCTATAAATTTTAGTTTCCAAATCCTCCCCTCAAAAGTTTTTTTTTTAAACTCCTTTTCTTTTAACCTCATAAAAGCACAGATGTTCAATTTGGTAAGTTGACTCAAATTTTTAAATTATTATTTAACTAAAGGAATATGCCAAAATAAAAGTCTACAATTATAGCAACTGTGGGTGAAATATAACCCACTGGTATCTCATAGGCCCCTGCTCATCAGCCATCATATGATGCCATACTCTAGTGAAAATAACCCATAGGTAGGGACAGAAACAGACTTTTAATCCTTCTTTGAATAGAGACGCTGGTTGCTCTGCCAGCAGATCTGACGGGACTTAAAGTGTCGGGAGCAGATAGTCATGTTTTACGGAGACTTTGGAAGGCCCCTGTAGGTGAAATCCGAGCACAGAATTTACGACTTTGGAGGAAAGTTATACCACCCTCTGCAGATAATTATCCTCCTTTTGAGAAAGTGCTTCTGGCTCTGACTCAACATTTGACCACAGGCCACCAAGTTACCATGTGAACTACCCATTATTAAGACAGTATTATCTAACTCACCAAGCCACAAAACTGGGTGTGTACAGTAGCACTCTGTTATCAAGAGGAAGTAGAATATACAAGATCAGGGTTGTATAGGTCTTGCTGGCATAAATAAATTGCAGAGGCAAGTGGCTTAAATTCCCATGACCTCTACTCCGACTAAATTACCTCCTCCTGCCCCGGCCGGTGTTCCAAATGGTTAGAGCATTGGCCCATGCACTGAAGGGCTGTGGGTTCGACTCCCAGTCAAGGGCATGTACCTGGGTTGCAGGTTGGATCCCTGGCCCTGGCCAGGGCATGTGCAGGGGGCAACCAATCGATGTGTCTCTCACATCTATTTCTCTTTCTCTCTCTCTAAAAACCAATGGAAAAAATATCCTTGGGTGAGAATTAACAACAAAATTACCTCCTCCCTCTCAACTTGCCCCTGTGCCCCATAGGAAATTCTCTATATCCAGTTGGCCAAGGAAGAAAAAATAGAGGCCTGGTTTACAAATGGTTCTGCACACCATTCTGGCACCACTCGAAAGTAAACAGTGGCAGCACCAGAGCCCCACCTGAGAGTGGCCCGAAGGACTGTGGAAATGCTCCCAGCAGGTAGAACTTTGAACACTATATTGGTTGTTTATCTCACCCAGAAGGAGAGATGGCTAGAAGTATGCATCTACACAGTTGCATGTGCAATGACTGATGGTTTGGCTGGCTGGTCAAGAAAAGGAGCTCTGAGAAGAGGTGTGTGAATGGACCTCTCCAAAAAGGCTCGGAGGATAAAGGTATTTAAGTTCCATACTGAAGAGTAAGCTCACTGAAGAGTAACTGGGGCAGAGGAAGATTTTAATAATCAGGAGACAAGATGACCTACTCTGTGAACATTAGTTAGCCTCTTTCCCGGCCACCTCTGTCCTTAGCCAATGACTTCACAAACTAAATGATTATGGCAGTAAGGATGGAGGTGATGTGTGGGATCAGCAACATGGACTTACTAAGGCTGATGTGTCTATAGCCACTCAATCTGCTGTTGGGAGAGTGCTCAGTCTCCCAATTTAAATAAAGGGGAGGGGAGCAGCACTTAGTCCTCACTGGAATAGACAATTGCTGTGGATATAGATTTGCCTTCCCTACCCACAATGCTTCTGCAGAAACCACCATCTGTGAACTTAATCAATTTTATGGTATTTTACCCAGAAGCATGACTTCTGATCAGTGAGCTTATTTTACAGTAAATGAAGTGTAATGATAAGCTCATGCTTGTGGAATTCACTGATGTTATCATTTCCCCCGCATCCTGAAGCCACTGGGTGACAGCGTGGAAAGGACTTTTGAAGATTCAATAACAGCACTAGCTGACTAGCAACACCCTGCAGGGCTGGGGCAAGGTCTTCCAGAATGCACTATATGCTCTAAATGAGTGACTAATACATGGTATTGTTTCTCCCATAGTCAGGAATCACAGCTCAGAAAATCAAGAGGTAGAAATGGGAGTAGCACCTTACACAGTTTCTGCTTCTAATCCAAATTTCAGCTTCCTCGCCCCACAACTTTGGGCTCTAATGGTTTAGAAGTCTTAGGTACCAAGGGAGAAGTGTTTCCATTAGAGAATAAACAATGGTTCCATTACACTAGAAGTTAATACTGTCACACTTGGCCATTTTGAGTTCCTCGTGACAGTGAATCAAAAGGCAATGAAGATTACTGTACTGAATGGGATAATTTAAAATATATATATTTTTATTGATTTCTGAGAGGAAGGGAGAGGGAGAGATAGAAACATCAATGACGCCGAAACCGGTTTGGCTCAGTGGATAGAGCGTCGGCCTGCGGACTGAAAGGTCCCAGGTTCGATTCCGGTCAAGGGCATGTACCTGGGTTACTCTCTTTCTCTCTCCCTTCCTCTCTTTAAAAAAAAAAAAAAATCAATAAAATATTAAAAAAAAAAAAGAAAAGAAACATCAATGACGAGAGAGAATCATTGTTTGGCTTGCCTCCTGAATGCCCCCTACTGGGGATCGAGCTCACAACCCAGGCAAGTACCCTGACCAGCAATCACACCATCTAGGACTGAATGGGGTAACTGATCCTGACTTTCAAGGAGAAAGAGAGTTGCTACCACACAGAGAGCTTGGGAATGATAAAGAGGAGTATGTTTGGGCTATAGATCTCCTGGCCTATCTCTTGGTATCCCCACACATTGCTATAAAAGTTGATGGAAACCACTACAACATAAAACAGGTAGGGCTGCTAATGGCAGAGACACTTCAGGAATAAAAGTTTGAGTTTTCCTGCCAAACTAGGAACCATGACCAGCTGAGAGGCTTGCCAAGGGCAAAGGGAGTACGGAATAGATAGTGGAAGAAGGAAATTATAAATATGACCACATGACCACATGATTGGTGACATAAATAAGGAATATAGTTCTGAGAAATGTAATAATTTCTTCCTTACTGTGAAATAAAGATATGTCTATAATTAACAATTTTTTCTTCTTCCTTATTGTTATAAAATGAATTGTGTTTCCCTTTTCCCCCCAAATTCATATGTTGAAGCCTCAACTCCCCATTTGACTATGCTTGGAGAGAGAGCCTTTAGGGAGATAATTAAGGTTAAATGAAGTCACAGGAGTGAAGCCCTAATCCAGTAATGGCAATATTTATTTTATATATTTAAATGCCATTTAACAAAGAAAAATCAACCAAAAAAATGAGTTCGCATGTCACCTCTGACACGTGTGTCATAGGTTCATCATCACTGCCCTAATTTGATAGGACTGGTGTTCTTATAAGAGAAAGACACCAAAAATTGTGTGTGCTCACATTCTCATATTTTCTCTCTCTCTCTCTCTCTCTCTCTCTCTCTCTGTTTCTCCTTCTTTTTGTCACTACAGTGGCACTGTCACTATATGAGCATGCACAGAGAAGAGACCATGCAAGGTCACAGTGAGAAGGCAGCCATCTACAAGCCGAGAAAGCTCTCACTAGAAACCAACCCTGATGGCACCCTGATCTTAGACTTTGAGCCTCTAGAACTGGGACAAAATAAATTTCTGTTGTTTAAGCCTGTGGTATTCTGTTATGGTAGTAAGCATGCCTTCAGTTGTATGAAAGATAGTTCAGCCTTGTAGGTGGAAGCATGATTTTGTTACTGTCTTTATTTGGAAAGTAAATGTGGTTATAAGGGGTGTGAATGGATGGCAAACTGAAAAGGGATGGACTGTGGGAGGTTATACTGTGTCAATTTGGTTAAACTGGGAACTATGCTTGACAGAATCCCCTCCCTCTATCGTTCCATCTTAAAGTTGAACAAAACAGGAGTTGAATGTGATTTGACAGGTAGAAGTAAAGCAGCAGCCACTATTCTCTGAAGGTCACTCTAGGCCACGGTGGTGATAAACACTCACTGCCAAGTGAATTATAGCTCCACACCCAGCTCTGCTTCCCACATACTGATCCTACTGACCAACCGCTGTCCTACCCAAGACCTGGCTGTAGACAAGAGCTGCCCCAGATCTCCTTGTGAGCTTCTCATTTGGGGTTCCACTTCAGCAGGTGGATACACTTTGGCTTCTCAGACTGGCTGGATACGCCTCTAATCTACCAACTCTCCTTCTGAACCTTGACTTCCCAGGTGGTTCACAATGTGTCAGACCTAATTCCTACCATAAATCCGACTACACTCATTACGGACTCTGCTTTCCTGACTGAACTCTGACCATTCAAGAACACACAGCGAATGCAATATGTCTATCTATCAAATAGTTCTTGTTTTAGATTATGGGAAGATGAAGGAAGGCAGTCTATCTCCCTCTGTACAATCTACACCAGTGATGGCGAACCTTTTGAGCTCGGCGTGTCAGCATTTTGAAAAACCCTAACTTAACTCTGGTGCCGTGTCACATATAGAAATTTTTTGATATTTGCAACCATAGTAAAACAAAGATTTATATTTTTGATATTTATTTTATATATTTAAATGCCATTTAACAAAGAAAAATCAACCAAAAAAATGAGTTCGCGTGTCAGAGGTGTCATAGGTTCGCCATCACTGATCTACACCCTCCCCCAAGTCTTCTCATTAGTAGAGAGTTGATAAGTTAATATAGATAAGCAGGTAGAACAATAAAATATCTATCAGTTTTGCCTTAAAATTAAATACTCCAAGTACTTATATTTTTTTGCTGGCACTGTCACTATATGAATGCATTTTCAAGTTGAAACCCTTCTTAGAATGAAAACTGTTATATTTTAGCTCTCAAAGAATCTCTCTCACAATAACTTTACATTAGACAAATTTCATTCACTGACATAAAATACAGCACTGTGGTTAATTCAACTTTTTAAGGAGAGAGTCCTGCACAGTGTAGCTCAGTTGTTTGAGCATCATCTCATACACCAGAAGGTAGCAGGTTCAATTTCCAGTCAGATCACATACCTGGATTGTGGGTTCAATCCCTGGGCCCGGTGTGTGTGGGAGGCAACCGATCAATATCTTTCTCTCTCTAAAATCAATAAAATAAAATTTTTTAAAAAAGAAATTTGAAGGGATGAAAGTAGATAAAATAGATGGAAGTAGTTTTGCTTAAGAATCTTTACCTTTGTATTCCTTATAACAATTGGATATTTCATCTCTGAAAAAAAAAAAAAAGGAAAAAGCAATTGGTGAAAGATTTATTTTTAGTAAAAGAAGGCCTACAGTATTTGAAATTTACTAGTAACAAACTTAAATGGGTTTCTTGTCACAACCATGATTACTTTCCACATTTCGTTTTGAAGCTTTTACCAAGTAATAAGATTAAACTAGTTCATATTTGACAATATATAAAACTCTGGCATGTTTTTTAGATTATTTTATATGAATTCACTTAATCTATGCTTATCAACCTCCCACCACTTCAGCTCTAGCATAAGCAGTCCCAGCTTTTTTCTCTGAACTACAAATCTAAACACCATGCTATAAAATAGATCATCATAAATCAGTATGTATTTTCCCACAGGACTAATGTTATGACACTTGTTGTTCAAATGTTGGTTACTGGATCTCTGTAGATTCTATGTTGTGAAAAGAAGCAAAAGTTATTAAAACACAAAATCTTCCAATAATAAAGTATTTATAAAATTAGTTTCCAATCAGATACAAGGGATCTCGAAGTCTTGTAACACATAAGTGCAACAGTTAAAGAATATGATCTACTTTTACCATGAATAAATTTGATTGATTATGCTACCTACCTATAACAATCTTAATTATTTAACAATTTTGCTCATCATCTTATTATTTAGTAGGACACTGGGAGGATGATTCATATGGCCCAAATCTCCAAAAAGAAAAACCTGTCAAGGAAGAATAAACCCAGCACACTACATTTTCCCTCAAATTTCCCCAAAGCAAATTCAAAATTTACAAACCGATTCATTTAGTTTTAAAAAAAAAAATCCCCAAAGGGGGTCGTTCAGAATGGCTAAGTCATGTCCTATCCACAGACAATCTGCTTCAGTAAGACTGGGTGATGCTAAAGTCTGCAGTTTTAACAAACATCCCCAGGGATTCTGACTCTAACCTACAGGCTAAGGAAGAATTTGGGGGCTAATCTACAATAATAAAAGCGTAATATGCTAATTAGACCAGACAGCCGAATGACCTTCTGGACATCCTTCCGGACGAAGCTGGGACTGGGGCCGATGCAAGCTGCCGCAGCCACAAGGGCTGAGGCCCTTGCATGATTTCATGCATCAGGCCTCTAGTCTATATATAAAAGCCTTATCGACCGGTATAACCAAACGACTGGAACAACCAGTCAACCAGTCGCTATGATGCACACTGACCACCAGGGGGCAGATGCTCAACACAGGAGCTGCCCCCTGGTGTCAGTGTGCTCCCACAGCCAACCTCCTGTGCTGGCCAACCTCTTGTGGCCCCTTCCCTCCTCCCCCCTCTGGCTGGC